CACTTGCCCTTGGATGATGTGTGGTAACAAATGGGTAACATTTTTTTTAAGTTCTTTAGACTTCTTATTATTGAAGTTCTTGTAGTTTCCTTTGAAGATGACAAATAATTTAATTGATTAAACTTTTTTCAGTCACTACAAGGTTTAATACTCAAGCACTTAGTGATTCAGCTAAATTAAACAAAAACAGCAAACTTGGTATGCTCAGGATTATTAGCATATATAAAGCAGAAGCTTCATCTATGTGTCTACTTTCACATCTACACTTTTCAACCAATCAAAATCAAACTTAGCATACATCCTTAGGGACTCCAGTGAATGTTATAGAAGGGTAAGCATTGTCAAAATGTCTGCAGATCACATCTACAGTTTTTATGACCTCAACTAAACTTGGCATAAACCTGTACAGCTCCCAAGGTATTGTTAATGGAGGAGGGGGATTGATGTTTAGTTTCACCCCCACCCACCCCTGTGTCACCCCCCAGGGGATCACTGTCTGTTTCTGTGTCCACATTTCACAGCTATAGTTTTTCATTATTCTCAACAAATCTTAACATTGTACTCTTAGGACCCCCAGAGAGTGATACAGGTTATTGTGTGGGGGGTGGGGGGGCACTGTCTGTTTGTGTGTTCAACTTTTACCCTTGGCATGTACCATCAGGGCTATACATGGATGTCAACATTCAGATCTGATCCCCTATATAACCCCTGGGAGCCCTTTGTATTCTTATTGTAATTCTATTCATCTATACCAATCTTTGAAGGCACCCTTAGGGCACTCCAGTGTGTGACATAAGAGGTTGGCATTCTGATCTGACCATCCTATGTCATCCCCTCCAGGGGTTCCTTTAGTCCCCATACTATTTCATTAATCTCTACAAAACTTAAAAGGCACTCTTAGAGTCCCTTGGGTAGTGTCACAGATGAGATTGATATTTGGATCTGACCTCTCACGTTTCATCTTCCGAGGGCCCCTGCACAATTCTACTGATTTCTACCAAATTTTGAAGACAGTACAGAGTACTTGTGACACGAGGGGGAGCAGTATTCAGATCTGTCTTTTCTATGTCACTCTGTGGAAGTCTTTATGTCTTTCTCATGTGTTGAATGGGTACATCAACCAGTTATCAAATAAATCAAAACATCTGTAAGAATTGGTGGTCATTAATAATCACTAATGGTTAAACTTTACTAAACACGTGCATTTTATGATTCCCTTTATAATGGAATTTGTAAAAGTGGAATTAAAACTTACTAATTGTGCCTAGGGTGGTATATGTGTGTATATATTAAAGGTGTGGAGATACAGCGATATAATAAGTGTCATATCATGAAGCCATGATATAATTGTATTAATACATCATCTGATACGATTTATGTATCTTCATGAAATTTGGCAATCTTTGAGTAAACATTATAAGTCTTTCGTACAGAAAAAAAAATGAGAATTTCTAATAAAGTCTTTCTGTTAAAAATTAATGATTCAATAAAGGAAGATGAGTATTGAGTACTACATGTTGTCTTCATTTCTTTTATCAAAAACATTACATGCAAAGTAAGATAAAACAGATAGACAGATATTAACTTTTTTTTATTTTACTTCTCTTGCCAACTGCCATTTAGTTGATCAAACCTGAGAATTTGAAAAAAGCACTGCAAAGTGTGAAGTACTTAAATAAGACAATGTTAGTACTATAGACAACAACTACGGATAAGACTGTCAAATTTTGTAACAAACCATTGGTAAAACTTCCGTATCTAGATATGCATCGTATCGTGGCATCAATATCTAGGTACATATCGTATCAACTACTATAATGAGATATACACCCCTAGTATATACAGTATTGAAAACAACTACAGAAACACACAGGAGATACACATACAGAAGTCACAAACAATGACTAATTGCTATCAATTGGTCACTTTATCCTTAGCACAATACATTATCACAACAAGTAAGTTGTGTAATGCACTAATATTTTATATTTGCATCAAACAGAGTAGAATAACCTTTTCATTGTTAACAGAAGTTTACCATTGAATGGTTATAAAATATTATTTTAAATGTCCAATATTATTCCTCACATTTCAGCCAAATTGTTTGTTTGCCACTTGGCCTTCTCAGTTTCCATATAAACCCATAAAACCTTAATAATATTCATGTCCAGACTTTGTTCAGGCCAAGTCAGTATTGCAAGTGTTCCATCTGCCTCTTTTTTTCCTTCCAGATACTGTTTCACCACATTTGGTGCAGCCTTGAGATCACCACCTTAATGAAAGATGAATTCTTGCCCAACATGCATTGTTCTTGAGAAAATAACATGATGGATAAGAGTACTTGTTCCTATCAGCAGTCACAATGTCATCAATTTTTTACAGATCTCCAACACTATTCAGAGGCAGACCACACTTGTATTGGTCCACCAGCAAGTAAAAGTTGTTCATTGACAAATAATGTTCTCCTCTCTCTCACCCTGGACAAACAATTGTTGGTTATTGCTAAACAATTTAAATTTAAATTCATCTGTACAGAGCACCCCCTCCTCCAGTCTTTATCATCCAATTATTTGAGGTCTGATGCACTTTTTAACCTTTTGGTTTGGTTACCTCCCCTAAACAGTTGTTTTTGAGAAGCTCAACATACATTGAGGTCATTTTGTGCTAATACATATCTTACTCTTCTGGAGATCACATTCATACCTGTACTTACAGGTAAGTCATTGACAAGATCTCCAAGATTAATATGGTTTTCGTCATCTATTAAATGAAAGCCATGCCATGAGTTATTGAGCATCATTTTTGAAGAATTTGGGTTTTCTACCTCAACTTTTTCTATTATCAACAGTTATAGTTGCACGTGCCCTCTTCAGGGTTTCAATACAACTACTACTAAAACATGAAATTTGACTTTAATCAGTCATATGAAGTAGCCTTCACTAACCAAAAGTCTGATTTCTACATGTTTATCATGTGGTATTTCTGTCTAGAGAGCAATGAGTACATTCATCACACTACTGCTGGGAACAGTATAACTGCCTGCACTTTTATAGCCAATCACAGTGTAAATAATAAACACATTGACTGTACTTTGGTGCAGTTCATTTTCATATAGTATAGGTGGAGAAATGCTTTAATATTTGCATTTTATAGCCATTTGATTCACTGTTTTAATAATTCTTTTCAATACAATACACATTTTAAACAAAGTTAAAATTTTTAAGCATGGATCAGTAGCTCTTTATAAGGTTTTCCTGTTGACAGTCATTAACATTGCTATATTTATGAGAACTCAAAAGTGCAAAATGACACCTTGATGCGCGAGTTCTTCAAGACAGCATCATACTGAACTTCTACATGACACACTTTAATGTATAATATTAAATTAACTGAGCTTCTACATCACACTTAATGTATAATATTGTACGAACTGAGCTTCTACAT